ACTGCGACGGTTTTATCGAATGTTGATATCTTTCTGGACGACTTTTTGGACGACGTTTTGGATAGTTTTATTTGATGTTGAATCCTTAATTTTTCCGGTCAACTGACGGTGTTTTGGATGATTTCCATCTAGATAGACCTCGAGTGCATATTTATGAAAGGTTATGAACCTCCACTGGCACAAAATAAAGGTTAGGGTAAAGTCTGCAAAAAATAAAAAGATGAGGGACCGTTGTTGCAATTTTCCCTTTTTTTAGTACACAGCATATGTAGTTCATGCATTTCGGACTAATGAGTAAGCATTAGTTGTCTCAATTTTTTGAAGTGCTCAGACATTCTCATCCATAAATCGTATATTAGGCATTCTAAATTTACTGTTATTATTTTATTGTTACTTATGTTTTACAACAGGATGCTCTCCATATGATGTAGTAGTAGTAGTAGAAGCATTCAATCCAAGCTAACTCACACAAACAAGTAAAAATTGTTGAAACATAAATAGGCTATACTGCCCCTACAAAATCCATATGTTTACATGTATATCAATGTCCTACAATCACATGAACACCAGATAATGTGTAGATTACTATAAAAGATCATGGATCAACTTTATTCTCTTCTCTGAAATATTGATAAAAATCACTTCGTTGGTAATAATTATATGATTGGAAATCAAATAGGTCACAGAATCATACAAAACCATGATCCTCGATGGATAAAAACATTTTGATAAAAATGTAAAATTCACTATGACAAGCTACAACTCATATATTGTTCGATAGATTGGAATGATGACATAAAAACTAATCATTCTTTGTTCCTTCATTCTTTTACGTTTTCGTACGTAACTTAACATAAGAGGTTGCTTACAAGTCCTCCTATTGTGTCTCTTTTCCTCGCACCATTCACACATTGTCAGGTTTAATGACTCCAACCTTGTTCATCTCCTAGGTCTTTCCTCTTAGATTGAGGTGAAAAACTATCGACTTGATATTGATCATTATTGACTTTCTACTACAAATGGTGTCCAAGCATACAATGCATCCAAGATAAGTATCAATATACGAATCCTTTGTATGGTATCTGGAACAATATTTATAAGGTTGATCTCATACCTCCTACGTTGTAGCTAACATGTGTGGATGCCGAACTCCATCAAACTGAAACTTATTGCACGTGCATTTCATTGCTCGCAAATCAACAATATGTTGTGCGTTCTCGTCTGACACTTGATACAGGAAATCGTTTCAAGATGGGACCCATGAAAATGCAATTTAATGTTAGCAACGATACAATGAAAAATGGTGATTTTTTTATATGTGAAATGTATACAATATAGAGGTTGTTTGAGCCTCATTTTTTTCTTTTTTCAAAAAATTCATTTAGCAATAGTGTTATGAATTATGATGGAGAATATGTGGTTAAAAAAAAAAGAAAGGTTTTGAATTTGCGTGTCGTATTGTTTTATTGAAGAATATGTGGTTGTCAAATCACTATTCAAGAATACATTTAATTGAAAAGTGGGGATCAAACAAGAACATAGTATCTTTTGTCGTGTTGGAGATATAATTCATATATGTGTCATTAACATTTTCACCAGACCAACATCTGATAAAGGAATGGTATTCGACGCAAGTACAGGATTAGAAAACCCACAAATTATATTCATAATTAAGATGATAAAAGGGTTCTTTTATGGAATTTTATAGAATTCTAGAATTCCAGCAAATATATTAATGAGCACATAAAATTTAAGCAAAAAATTACTAAAGATTAATGAATCAAAAATAAATCACACAATTAGTATAATACATACTGTTAAACTGTGATTTTAAATTGTCTGCACAAATCACAAATGAAATGTGTCCGAAGTCCAGATTCTTGTTTGTAAAACAAAGCATTTGAGTTTGAATTCTGCATATCCATGGGAGGCACAATTAATGAATTGCGTAATTTATGTAAATTCAAACTTCAGTTATAGAAATATAAGAGAGAGAGAGAGAGAGAGAGAGAGAGAGAGTTTTAAAGTACTGAAATTGGTATTTTTTTTTTAAAAAAAGTTTTACAGTATATTACAAATTTAGGGCCCGTTTGGTAGGGATTTTGAGAATTGATTTTTTAACCGTTAGAAAAAAAGTGGGGTCCACATATGAGAGAAGAAGTCAAAAATTACGGCTTGAATAGTAAAATAACGGTCAAAAAATCAATTTTTATATCTTTTCAATTTTTTGGCTATTTTCCTAAGGACAAAAAATGAAATTACTGTTTGACCAATCTAGTTGTAGGAATGTCTTCCTCATAAATAATTTCATACATTAAAATAGGACAACTTACAAAAATATCCTTAAAATTAGGGATTTTTTGAAAATTTATATGAAAAATATTTTGGAAGTAAAAAGTGACACAATGTCATTTTTAAAGTTAAGTATCACCTTTTTATTAATGTATGTCACTTTTATTAGAAAGTGATGTTTTAGCCCTTGTTTGAACCCTATTTCTCTATCGAAATGCATTTTCTATCAAAAGTGACACAATGTCAAAAACACATTTTTCAATAAAATAATATTATACTCAAACCCAAAATTTTTCTTTATTTTTTAACCACACATTCTTCATCATAATACTACAAAATGCATTCTATGAAAAAATGGGCCTCAGACAACTCCGTAATCTTGCATTCAGATCATATTTATTACAATCAATTCAATTGATACATTCAAGATGTTTGCCTTGAAAAAGTCATAATATCTCATTGGAGCAATTTACTAGATACGTGTGTGTTTTTGAAATATTAAATATACGAATTCAAACATTATTTAATCTTGTATTCAATTCATATATATATATATATATATTTTTGAATCAATTCAATTGATACATCCAAAAGTGTTCGCGAAGATGGGAATATGAAACGGTGATAAAAGGGTGCAATCTCTCATTAGAGCAATTAACTAGATGCGTACGTGTGTGTTTTTGAAATTTTAAATATTTGAATTTAAACCTTGTTTTAATTTTGCATTTAATTCATATTTCTTTAAATCAATTCAATTGATGCATTATTTGCAAAAATGAAAATGTAAAAAAGTGGTATTCTATGAAAAGTCGCCTTATCTCATTGAAGTAATTGACTAGACGCATATGAATGTTTGTTTGAAAATTTAAATATATGCATTCATATTTTTTTTTTTATATCAATTCAATTGATACATTCAAAGTATTTGCGAAAATTCAAGAAAAGTAACACATTAAAAAAAAGGAAAAAAAAAAGAAAAGAAAAGTGAAAACACTCCAAAAAGTGACAAATAATACAAGCTCCAAAGTCCAGTTAACCATGAACCTCCTCATTATACATTTGACATTATTTTACAAATAATCTCTAAATCTCAAAACTTTCAAAAATTAAAGAATTAGTTTCAATTGAATCTGTTGTTCTTTACAACCTCTTCAAGTAGCAATCCAAGTGATTAATGATTAGAAACTTACTCCATCCTAAGAAAAACAATTCGTGTAATTTTTTTATGAAAGAATAGCCTGTTTAGTTGTCCAAATTTTATAGAAGTTAACTGAAACCATGAGATAAGAAATGAATGTCAAAGGTCGAACAAATTGAAAAAAATCAATCATTCACAACCACTGTTTAATGATTCCTCAATTAATAATCTCTTTTAGAAATTGAATGGATTTGATTTTATACATACGTGAGGACGGTAATCAAAAAAGAAGGAAGAATTATCACTTATGAGCCGTGTGAGTTGCTCCCTGTTATGACTAAATAATAATATACTCTTAAAAAATACAGAATCTTTTGGGAATACTCTAAAGTAGGAATTCGCAAACCCACACTCTATGTTAAAAAGTCAAAATAGAGAGTTTATGGAAGCCCATTTTTAAGTATCGATCTTCTAAAATAGATATCATCTTGTTTTTAAAGAATTTTGAATGAGTAATGCTATGTAGCTTCATTGGATTGCAGCAAGTGGTGTTAAATGCCACCTAAATTGGAATTGCAATCCCAATAAAATTAAATAACATTGTTCATTTTGAAACTACTTTAGCACAGTAATGACTAATTATTACTCTTTTTAGATAGACGTAATTATTTTAGTGCTAAAGTAATATGTTGCAGACAACAATATAATTGTTCATTTCAAAAGAATAATAATATGTAACACTATTAATTCTATAACACCAGTTTATGTGACATTACATACAAATTTAACTAAATTTTCTAGGAATTGATTTATCAATTAATGATACTTAACATTATGTAAATGGATGCCTAGAACTGTCCTAATAAAGTCCATATTTGAGCTCCATTATTTAAAAATACGTTTTCAACTATATAATTTCCCAATATAATAATTTTATATGAAAACTTAAAATTTTTCTCTACTTTTTAATCATACATTCAAATAATAATAATAATAATAATAATAAATTCATTATCACAAAGTGTATTCTATTAAAGATCCGAAGTACAACTGTATTATGAAACATTTTGACTTTCTAGAACCTTCAAAATTTGACCGATAGATACAATTTCAATTTTCAACATAAGAAAATTTAAAGTGACATCAACATTAGCACTCATTTCTGACTTTCAAAAGTTGAACCAGAACCCCATCCCAACTTCCCAAGGGTTGACTTCCTCATCGTAACATAAATCACACATTTTTGTAATTCATTCAAAGACAGGCGCTACATATTTTCTATGCAAAGAGAATGTCAATTCAAATGCTCTCGAAAATGAAAATGAGAAATGACAACACAACAGGGTGGGATCGAGGTGGCACCATGTCCCTCTCCCATCTGAAATTTTAGAGAAACAAGTGGGGATGTAACAATGACCATGGTTTTGTTTAATTCACATTACTTAAAAAAAATACATTCTTAAATAGTAATTTGACATCATTTCAATCACACAATTTTCAATAAAATAATATTACACGTAAATTTAAAATTTTTCCTTATTTTTTAAACACACATTTTTCATCAATACACTACTCAAAAATACATTTTTTTCAAAATAATGTGACTCAAACGAGGGTCATATTCTTTGTCTTCGGCTAAATTTCATAACTAAATTGGAAATCCAAACACGATATCTTAGGGCGGATCATTTCCATAAACAACTGTGCAAAATTAAAAAGGTGTAACAGTGACCAATGAGCTACTCTACCGAGGTCCCAAAGAGACTGAAATTTCCGTCGGAACCTTAAATTTCTCCGACCACTTCCTAGACGCCAAATAAAGCTTTGATATTTTTCCCGCCACCCATTTCATGTCGGGCCGATTGCTGGGATCCACTTGGACGCATTCCAATGCAACACGTGTCACTTTCTCTGCCACGTCAACCGGAAATGAGTCCTTTAACCTCTTATCCACCCACTTCCTCAACCTCATCTCCAACCCTTCTTCTCCGCCCCCACTGCCCTCCACCGCCTCCCTCGCCGTCTCAATTACTGAGTGTCGCTTATAAATCTTACTGTCCTTGTCGAACTTGTACGTCTCCGGCTCCTGCCCTGTCAGCAATTCAAGAATCACAACCCCAAATGCATAAACATCAGATTTCTGGGTAGCGACCCCGTTAGCTTTAAACTCCGGCGACATGTACCCTCTTACACCCACAAACTGCCTCTCCGATATCAACCCCGGAGGTCTCGGCCGGTCCTCCTCCCTCGTGTCGCCGCAAAGTTCAGCCGCACCAAAATGGCAAATCTTCGCATTATAAGACGGCTCCGTCACAATTATACCGCTGCTTTTCACATGCTTGTGCACCATATTGATGCTTAATCCAGCTGTATTGTGTATATAATCGAGCCCATGGGCAACATCTGTGGCAATTTGCATACGCGACATCCACGTCGAAAGCACGGTAAAATCAGGGTTTCTAGGGTTCCTCAAGCACAGGCTCAAATCAGATCCCGATACAAAATCATAGACTAGGTAAATATGCTCTCCAGAAATTGAAACACCGAGGAGTTTGGCTATGCTCATGTAGTGGCTCTTGCTAAGCACCCACAGCTTCTGTCTAACTTCGGAAAAATCAATGGATTTCCGGAGTTTACGTTGGAAAATGATGACGTCCTTGCCATTGAGAACCGACCGCCACGATTGGGAGGAGGAGGTGGTGGAAGAGTAGCGTTTGGCGAGGAAATTGTTAGTGGCGGCGCGGATTTCAGAGAAGTCGTAAATCTGTGTTTTTTCTGGCAGCGTTTCGCGGATGCCGGACAAGGAGGTGCTGCTGGAGGCAGAGGTGGTGGCGACGGAGGTATCAAGGCGGTAACTGGAACGAGAACCAGAGGCGGAGCCGCTGGTTGAAGGATCAAAAAGCAAATTTGGGGATTTTGGAACCGGATTTGGTGGGGAATTTGATGAGGTTTTTTCCTCTCCCGATTTTGATGATTTTCTTTGAAGTCTTGAAGATGAAATAGATGATCTTGTGGTTGTTGGATTAGGATTTGCAACTGGTTCTGAGGCTTTAATCGCCTTTTTCGATCTACACATAGGAGAAAATTTACAGCAGAAAATTGAATAAATTGAGGATTGGTCGATGCATAAAACTTTGAATCAATTGGATAAGAAAATTATTACAAACTTCAATTGAATTCCAACGGAAGAAGGAATTTGGTTATAATAGAGGGGCCCGGGAATTGGCAGGCGAGTGAAGAATAAGCTGTTTGGTAACTGAAAAGTTAAAAGAGTAGATAGATTATTTTAATTGATTTCGGGGTGCGAGTCATCTACACACTAAATGGGCAAAGAGCTTTCGGTATTTCGGTTACAAACGTTTAAAAATATATATATACAAACTAGGTTGACTGTTAGATGTCAAACGACCTCTCGGACGATGATGAAAATCAATTTTATCAGTCGACATGAATGACTGAACGATAAATTAACACCGAATAATGGATGAACCGACCTAGCGTTGCTTTACCTATTGGATGGCTAATAATCTTTGTGGCTTGTTGGTGTGCTATTGGGACTTAACCCTAGTCGAGCCTACTTACCATATTGTGACTTACCTTAAGTGGTCATTGGACTAATTTATATATTGGTAATTCTCTCCTCCTCCTTTGTGCCGTGCGTGAGAGAACCCGAGAGAGAGAGGCATTCTTCTTCTTCTTCTCCTTCATGCATCCTGTCAATTAATCTTCCCTACCAATTGCTTGAGGCTTGTGACTCTTACCTGTGTGGTATCCATCCTAAGTGTGTGGTAGAATCAACAAGCAAAAGAGCAATAGCAACCATAGGAAGACAATGGCGCCGGCGGTCGGTCATCTCGGTTTTGGTGTTGAATTCGATGTTTAATGGTTAACTGAGCCCGGAAATCACTTTGAGCAGCTTGAGGAAGATCCTAACATCTGGTATCAGAGCTTGGGTAGCAAAAAAAGGCTCAAAATCGGTTGATTTTTGGACATTAAACTTAGAACCCGAATCTGAAAATTTTCAATTACTCACAAACCAAAGCTCGGTTGGACAAACGAAGGCTATACCCATCACCAGCAGGTCGAGGTGCCCCCGGAGAGGCGGCGGGTGGACGACGGCGGCGGCGCGTGGATGGCTGTTCGGCGACACTGTCTTCAGGTAACTTGCTTGTTTCGATCTCCTGAACGCGCTGATATACTTTGTTTTATGTTTCAGGTTACACAGAAAAAGTTGGACGATTTTGCCCCTGGTGCGACGCCGACTGAAATTCAACAGCAAGCTCGTTTTTCTCCACTCTACGGACTCAGATAGGTCCACTCTAGTAAATTGGCTTAATCCATTTAAATTCAGCAATAGCAAGATCATCGTGTGGGGTGATCGTTAGGTTTTGGGGTTACCGTGAAGGGGTAACCATTGCTTGTGCTAGAACTAGGATTACTTGCGTTAATTGAGTGCTTGTTCTTTTGATTTAAAGTGCTTGGTATTTCTTGGTGGACGTAGCGTTTAGGTCAATTGTTACTTTTGTTAAGAATCAACAAGATATTATCTTATCACGCTTCCCAATACTACTTCGTGTGGCTTAATTAGTGTGTTAACCAATGACAACACATAATTTTGATTTGAGAATTTTTAACGATAAAGGGGACTTCTCTATCTGGCAACA